TATATATATATACACACACACACATCTACAAGTGTTTTAAATGTAAACTTAATTTGTAACTTTTTTACAGCAGAGCAGAACTGCGACAATAATAATTTTACATATTTAATATTTAAAATATTTAATTAGTGATAATTGTTGAATTTATTTTATAAATACAACATTTTATATAAAATATAAATATAGTTGTTGTCACAACCACATGGACTTTGTGTTTTCACCATTCCTGCCTTTGTTAGCGGTTGTCATGGTTACTGATTTGATTATATTATTCTGTTCAGTTGTGTGTAGCTTATTGTCCTCATTTGGTCTGTGTATTTCAGTTCCTGTCTGTTCAGTTTGAGTTTTTCGGGTCTCGTCAATGTTATATGAGTCGCCAGCCTTCCCTTGTTTGGATTTACCCATCTGTGGATTTATTAAAGACTGCTTATCTTCATCTCGTCTTCGTGTGTGTTTATCGACAGTCTGTGACAGTTGTGTTCATTTTAATCATATGATAATTTTTAGAGCATAGCATAACTAGGAAAAACATAACATTTACATATTTAAAACTATATAGAAATGTGCTAATTTTTTAGAAAATAATAGTTTAGCAAAAGAAATTTGTAATTTTTGACAGAGCAAATCTAGGGAGAAATTATGTTTACATATTTAATATTTAATAGAAATGTGTGATCATTTTTTATTTAGTTTAATTCTAAAAAATAGATCTTTGTAATTATAAGAACAGAACTAGGACAAACATCCTATATTAAATAGAAATATCATTTTTAGAATTTTTTTTTTTTTTTGGAGCAGAATGGGGAAAAATGTGAAATTTTACTGATTTAAGATTTTACATACCTCAGTGACTGTTTTAGACTTATAGGAAATAACAATTCCCTGATATTTCTAGGCTTTCTGAGATGGCCCAGCCACACATTAAGACAGCCTTCTTTTATTTGACTCAATCACAGTTAACACTGATATGATTAAGATGACAAACATGATTTGGAATGCAAACACTCAACAGTCCTGGTCTGCAGTCTGAACTCACAGTCCATGGCCACATTTACTGATGACGGAACTGGAGGAAACCAAGAGAGTTTTTGGTGCAACTTTCATCTTGAGATGCTGAGGGCTGGTCTGGACCAGTTGCTCAAACAGGAAGTTCAGCTCTGGATGGATGGATGGATGATGACACATGAGATCTGGTTTGGGTCTGCATTAATGTTCAGTTCATTGTCCCAGATCAAGGATGAGGTCATAACAAACAAGGGACTGTAGTCCTTAAAGAGTTGTCTAAACAGAAATCTTCTGAAACGCTTCAGAAAGATGCAGAGAAGCCCAAGCAGGAATAAAGGAACAAAGGGAATGGAATGAAGCGGAGATGATCGGGAAAGACAGGTAAGGCATCCATGCTCTGTGCTGGAACTGTCCAGGATGGCCAGCACCACTGAAGTCTACATACAAGCCGATACTGCATGGCTTGATAGCCAAGACGGTCACTCTGGCAATCATTCATTCATCACGCACAAACACAATCACATTTGTGCACAAAAAGAGTTTAGGAGGAGCACCTTGGGACCAAATGATGAAGCAAGGACTTATGGAGGGATGCGATGAAGGAAAAATAGGCAGGTCAGGCTTGCGTTCTTTTCCGGGTTTGCTTGGGTCGTCTCGGTTTGAGGATGACATATCTGCTGTAGGTGGTGTATTGCTCAGACAGAAATGGGATAAAAAAGGCCCTGAGCAATCTGGACGACCTGTGTGGGAGAGACACGCAGAGTCATGAACAGACCAACAACGTTTAAAGAAAAAAAAAAAAAAAAATGACATAATATGCACAACAGTCTACAAAATCCATAATTCTAGAATCTACTTTCTTTAAAAACAAAACATTTCCACATTTATTTATCCATCATTAACTGGGCAATAAAGACACCCAGAGATAATAACTGATTAATTGGGTCAAGGATAATCTCTTTTAGGATGATCGGACATCCAGTGTCACAACAATTAATGATGAGCGCTTGACAATGATGTCATAGCATCTTTAAAAGCACAAGGGGGCCCTCTAATGGATAAGCGCACACCCTACAATTTTCAATGACTCTTTACAGCAGAATTCATTTACTCTGCATGGATTACCCCACAAGAGTCTCTTGTATGTTAACAAATTTCCACTCGTTTTCAAAATTGTCCATTCTCCACACAAAAAGACTTGCCTAGTAGTGTCTAGAAAAGGCTTTTCAACAATAATGCTCCACTCCTCTTTGTTATTGGCATATCGTGGTTCACGAGGGGCTTCTGTTTCTGTTGCCAGATCCACCAGGTAATGACACTGCTTCAGTTCTACCTGAGAGCAAGAGAACATGGAAAATTACATATGTACTTCACATACAGCTGCAACACTGATCTTTTAAGACGGAGCTAGATTAGCTCTCAAATTTTTAACAGCTTTAGACTTTAAACCAAATGTTGTGCTGTTCATCTTGAATGCGTCTCGTATTCAGAACCCCTTATTGAAGAATTTACTGAACTGCTTAAAGGGGTCATATGATGCGATTTCAATTTTTCCTTTCTCTTTGAAGTGTTACAAGCTCTTGGTGCATAAAGAAGATCTGTAAAGTTGCAAAGACTAAAGTCTCAAATCCAAAGAGATATTCTTTATAAAAGTTAAGGGAGTCAACCACGCCTACCTAAAACGGCTCGTTCTAACATGCCCCCACGTCAACGTCATAATGTGGGAAGATTTGCATAATGCCGCCCAAATGTTCACGCAAAGAAAGAAGGTGTAACTTTTATTCTCGCTGTAGGATTGTTGTTGCCGCCTACATGTCGTGAAGACGCTGTGTTTCATTGTGAAAGCAAAACTACTTTGTTTGGTCTTCGAAAAGAGGACGATATCTGCTTCGTCATGCCTAGAGCTGATCTGTGCTGGTCGCTGAGGGAATTCATCAACTTTCACCGTGGACGAAGCGGAGTTCAGCCCGGGGTCGTCACATGTGGTTGCCGCTCATTCGTCG